CTAATTTAAACTGTTTTCAGCTACTTTCAGCTGTTTGTGCTCCTTTCTCATTCTTTCCACTGACCAAAACATTTTTTTATTTACTCTTTATTTATCCAGGTCGTCTCATTGAGTCACGGGGAATCATTTTCAAGAGACCTGTTTTTGGGAACAGATGGAGGGGGTTAAGCCTTGCTCAAGGGCCCAGAGCGAGGCAAATGAGGGTGGAGGCAGGTGTGGATGCTTCACCTTTCTCACCCACATTTTGGCGTCAGCCCAGGGAGTTGAACCTGCGACTTTCCAATCACAGGCCCATCTTCTGTAACCTCTGCGCCACCACTCCCCATTTTTGTGCTTCTTCTAACTTCGTTCTGCTCCTTTCAGCTTATTTATGTAAGTTTCAGCATTTCCTGCTTTTTCAGCCACTATTTAGCTGTTTTTATGCTAAATTTAGCTTTTTCAGTTAATTTCATATATTTTGCACTTATAGCCGAATTCAGTAAAAATGTGCTCTCTCCTCTTCCTTCTGATAATTTGAGCTTCATTCTGCTGTTTTAGCTACTTTTCAGATGTTTTAGCTACTTTTTAGATGTTTTTTGTGCTCATTTAAACTTTTTTCAGCCTAATTGGGCAAAATGTTTTTTTCTGCTTTCTTCTGATAATTTCAGCTTATTTTTTCCTTTTTAGCATTTTTTTTAAGCTAATTTCAGCTGTTTCCAATTCAATTCAATTCAATTTATTTCTAAAGCTCCAAGTGACAACAGAAGTCGTCTCAGGGACTGAACAGAAACATTAATATATAAAATAATAATTGAACAGAAACATTCATGTATAAAATAATAATTGAACAGAAACATTCATGTATAAAATAATAATTGAACAGAAACATTCATGTATAAAATAATAATTGAACATTATTTATCTGAGGAGCAGCTTTGAGTTTAACTCCATCACTGAACTCTCATGTTGAACAAGCATGAAGGCGACAGTGGAAAGAAAAACTCCCTCATGAGGAAGAAACCTTTAGCAGAACCAGGATCAGGACAAGAGGACCATCTGCTTCGACCGGCTGGGTTTGGTAGGAATAGATACACAATGGCAGGTCAAGAATCACATGTTAAGATAGAAATGGTATCGAATGAAAACTATTCATTTTAACAATTCATTTAAGGAAATGAGGTCAGTTTGTCCTCTAGTAGTCTAAGTCTATAGCAGCATAACAAGTCGACCCTAACTATAGGATTTATCAAGAAGGAAAGTCTTAAACTGGACAATGTGTCAGCCTCATGGACACAAACTGGAAGTTGGTTCCACAAGAGAGGAGCCTGAGAACTGAAAGATCTTCCTCCCATTCTGCTGCTGGAAACTCTAGGAACCACAAGTAAACCTGCAGTATGAGGGTGAAGTGCTCTGTTAGGAAAATATGGAACAATAAGAGCTGTAATATAAGATGGAGCTAGGTTGTTGACAGCTTTGTAGGTTAGAAGTAAGATTTTGAATTCAGTTCTGGATTTGACAGGGAGCCAATGGAGAGAAGCTAAAACTGGAGAGATATGATCTCTCCCAGTAACTCCAGTTAAGACTCTGGCAGCAGCATTTTGGATTAAATGGATTTTTTTTTATTTTGAATTTTAGTTTTCAGATAAATTCAAGGTTTTTTTGTGGTAATTTTTGCTACTTTCAACCTAATCAACTTATTTCTGATAATTTCAGCTATTTATGTTCCTTTCAGCTTTTTTCTGCTAGTTTCAGCGTTACCTGATATTTCAGCTACTATTTAGCAGTTTAATGCTAATTTTAGCTTTTTCAGCTAAGTCCATGTTTTGGAGCTCATTTCAGCTCTTTCCATTTCCTTCCGCTAGTTTAAGCTTCTTTCTGCCTTTTCAGCTCATTTTCAGCTATTTTTTTGGCTAATTTCCTCATTTTTGTGCTCATTTCTGATTATTTAAACACAATTCAGCTAATATGTTTTCCTTCTGCTAATTTAGGCTTGTTCTTCCAGTCCAGCTACATTTCAGCATGTCTGAGCTAATTTCGGCTGTTTTTCAACAAGTTCTTCAGCAATAAACGTTCACAGTATATTTGCAGGACGTGCAGCTTCTCCAGTTCAGTGTCAACTATAAACCGTCAGAAGTGAAATGGACTGTCGTTAAACCGTATCCAACATTTTTAATAATTAATGTTTACTGGCAGTAACAGGGTAAATATAAAAACATGTAAATAAATATGTGACTACGTAATAAAAGCTGAGAAACGTGTAAAACCAGTTTTTTAAATACTTTTGTTATAAATACATTTAAAGAAACATAGTTAAAAACTTTTCATTCTAATTGTTCCTTTTAGAGAAAAAGTGAATGTTCAAAGAATTCATAAACATTTTAATGATTTATTCCATTACATAAAATAAATCCTTTTCTTGTCATTCCCTCCAAAAGAGCTCAGTGCACGTCAGAGAACTGTACGTGTTAAACACTTGAAGTAAAACCTTTCTGATGCTTTTGCTGCTCAGCAGATCTAAAAACACTGTGGACTTTGGACTAAAGGATCGTTTGACGAGTGTAACGCGACAAAGTAAATTAAGTTACGGTTTGAATTTGGTATAAAGTATATAGTTATTTTTCTTTGCTTATAAACAAATTAAAATACTGCTGGCTCGGTGTAAAAGGTTGAAACAGTCCAAAGAGCAACAAAAGTCTGAGCAGATGTGTTAACGATCACTTCACGTGCTGCGGAACTCAACGCGAGTCTTCAAAGATGCAATTAGACTTTTTTTACTCCTCCTCGTGTCCTGCTTTGATCTGCTTACGATGAACATTCTTTGAGTTTATTAATTCTTCCATCCGGCTGACAGAAGGTGAAGTTCAGCCCACAGTTTTCACATGAAAGGAACGTCATTACGCGGCGGCGGAGGCGACGCCGACTGTTGCTGCTGGTTGTTTCCGTCACAGAGAGGAGCTCACAGCTGCTCATCATCGACTCAAAAGCACCAGCTGAACGGGAGCCTCTGATTGGATCAGCTGACTTCCTGTTCAGGGAAACCAGACATGGTTCAGCTTCTGAACAGGTACAGGTGTGTCGTGTTCGACCCTTTGACAGAAAGTTCAGCTGAAGTGCACGTGGACAGAATCAATGGACCGACTCTTCTCCCTCTTTCCATGAGAAGTGACGTGTGACCTCATGTCTAAATGTATGTTGCTGTCTGACTCAGTCACTTTGAACTCGTTACATTGTTTAATATTAACACCAGTCGTCACCGTTTACTTTCTTTTTGATTTAGCGGTGGTTTCCAAAATGTTTGGCACTACAACACAGAAAGCAGATTGAGAAATAACATTTGCAATTTCCTTGGAATAACAGGAGGATTTGGGGTTATTGGTCAAACAAAGCCGGCCTTTTGATGGTTCAAAACCATTTCAAATTTTATTATTCGCTTTTCTTAGATGGCTACAGAGACCAGAAGATCAAATGTGCTTTAAGACCAAGAGCTAAATTAATAAATAAATCTCACAATTTAGATGCTGAGAAACTTGTTCATGCTGCCACGCCGCAACACTTCAGAAAAGCATGAACAAGAAACTTTGTCCAGGAGGACGATGTCGTCCAGTGTTCCGTCACATGGAGGTCCAAAAGAGCTAAACAGCTAAATGTTCTTGTGCCTGAGCCTCACTTTAACATCGTTTCAATAACCGTGCAAATGTTTATTGAAACATACAAGAAGCAAGAGATGGTGGCATTAGAAAGGAAGAAAGAACACGCAAATCAGAACAAAAGCTTTAGAAGAATTTCAATCTAACAAGAATCATTTGTTAGAGAATCACAGTTATGAAACACTTGCCTTTAATTTACGAAGAAAAAAAAAAACAATGAATTCAACAGAAATCATGAGAGATTTTGTGCACGACACCACTTAGTGCCTTTTCTTTTACTCTGAAAAGTTTTTCATTAAAATAAATAAATAAATAAAACAAAAGAAATATCTTACCATCCAGCAGACAGTCAAAATGAAGACACTGCAGATACTCCCTCTCTCTCATAAAGCCATTCAAGGGGGTGGCCCAGCCTTCAGCCAGCACCTGGACCCACTGCATGTCCACCTACAGATTATACAACCACAAACAGATTATACAACCATGTACAGATTATACAACCATGTACAGATTATACAACCACATACAGATTATACAACCGCATACAGATTATACAACCGCATACAGAT